TTCCGAGGAGTGGCTGGTGGGTTTGAACCACCAGCCTTCTGGTTAGCAGTCAAGTGCCTTAGGCACTATGCTACCAGAGCTCCTTAGGTAGATTTATGTAGCTAATTTGTCTATCTGGTCATCTGTTAATCTGCCTCCCTCCCTGTCTGCCTGTCTGTCTGTCTAATCTGTCTTTGTGTCTAGTGTGTCTGTGTATGTAATCCTTCTATCTGACAATCTGTCCATTTAATCTGCCTGTCCTGTCTGTCTGTAATCTATCTAACCTGTTTAATCTATCCATCTTGTCTGTCTGTCTGGTGCAGATGTGCATATATGTATTCCATTTTTCAAAGAAAGCTGCTACCAGTTTCTGTGTGTGGAAGCAGGTAGTGAATTAACGAGTCTTTTTGTAGACCGGACCACTAATGCAGGCTGTGATGGGGTTCCCCAGGCTTCCCCCACATGCCTGAGTCATTCTGTGGCGGTTGGCTGGGCTGTGGGCAGATGCTGTGTTGTCTTGACTCCCTCCCGGTGAGTGTGGTAACTCACCAGGTGTAGAAATCCTCATGGCTTCCTGCCCTGCCCCCGTTTCTCTTGTGAAACCCACTCTAGCATTTAAAACCACAGAGTGTTTGCAGACTGACAAACCTGCTCACTCACCACTAGGTCTTTGCAGACTGTTCCTTGAGAGGGGAAAGCCCTCTCTTGCCTGCTCCCAGAAGCTGTCCCACTTCCTCATCCTTGGGCCTCAACTTAGAAGTCATTTCCTTTAAAAGCTTTACCTGATCCTGACCCCTGAGCACCTTACTTCAGCTGCTGGTTGATGCTGTCTGCACGTGGGACTGGCCTTAGGGGCTGTGCACGTGCCCAGCACATAGTAGGTGCTTGTGTGGTGTTGCCTGTAGGCTCGTCCTTCTTTCCCTGACGCAGTCCCTTCAGTGGAAAGGGCAGAGTTGCCACCGAGCTGCGGCACTGAGCCAGTCTTGCTGGCAGGACCCCGCGGCGTCTTCCTGATGTGCTTTGAAACTATTCAGAACTCACACACTAGTGGGTATAAAAATAGTACCGTTTTTACTACTGAAAGCCTAAGAGAAATTGGGCGTCAACTTCCCATGAGAAACGAGGGACCTTCAGCTTCTCCTTTTTTATTTTAGGTTTTGTGGGATCTGTGTAAGAGTGGAACTCACAGGACACATGTGTCAGCCCGCTGGGAAGGAGCGCAGCTCTGTTCATTGAACGTGGGCACAGCTGAGCTTCTAGTACCATGCTCGTCACCAAAAAGCTTGCTTTATTTTTTCCTCTCGAAAATGTTTCTAAAATTCTCAACTTTTTAGCCCTCCCTCCCCCCTTTACAAAACCTAGTAAATGAATCCACACTTTGCTAACAGTGCTCTGTGTCAGAGGACTTTTTTCCTTGATGTCTGATGGGCATTTGTGAGTGAGTGAATGCACGCATGCATGAGTGAATGAATGACTCCAGGCTGTCGTGGTGGACGAGTAGAAGGCGTTGAGGGAGTCTAGCCCCTTGCTCCTCTGCTGGTTGGCCTCCAGGTGTACCCTATTTTTACACAAAGTAACACGTGCTATATGGTTTTTTACAAACCCTTAGGCTCCCTCACGTGTATGTGTGCCCTGCATGTTACATGCTGCGTTATTTGTTAGAGCGGACGGACGTTGAGCCCTGCGTGCAGGGCTGCTGGCCTTCTCCTTGCTGTCAGATTGGAGCGTGGTTCTCGCTCCCAGGCATGCGCCTCTCCAGCCGGCTCGCCGTCCCACTTGTAGTCGGCTGTTTTAATCCACTGTGGGTAGGGAAGAGAGAGCGCTGGAGCTAAGTGATTCTCAGAGATGACTAATTAGGTCCCATGGGGCCTTTACTGTGAGGAGAGGTCAGAACGCTTTTCTGCATGAACTCTGGCTTCCATTTGGGCTGATCGGCAGCTCGACCGTCTGGTGGTTACAGTACCAGGAAGTGGCCTCTGAGAAGGGAAGTCTTTCTGTAGGAAGGGGGACTTGCTATCACTGGAATGGGTCGGGTCAGTGCCTTTACAGTCACCAAAGGGGCTTACCCAGAGGTGAGAGTGAACAGGGAGCTTTGAAAGACTGGACAGACTGACCCGAGGCTCTGTTGATCTCTCAGGGGGCATTTCCTCTATTAAACTGAAGTGAAGCGTCCGACCCCTAAACCAGCTATATCACAAACAAGTCACAGTGGGTCTATATTTATGTCTGTGGATTAGATCCCATTGGGCCAAATACAAGGCCTTCAATTCCTTAAAAAGTCATAAAAGTCTCTGAGAGATTTCCCATTCCAAATATTGATGAGTTTCTGCACTTTATTAGCAGTAAATTATTTCTCATTCTTACGTGTGTGGACTGTAAGACCTCAGTGGGGAAGTGGCCCCAGAGACCCGTGGGCAGCCGAGTCCTCGCCCACCCGACCTCAGACGGCTGGTTGAGTGAACTCCCAGCTCCTGGTTCTGAGACAATGAAGTCCTTATGTCAGAAAAAGCCATTTTTAGGTGTTTCTCAGTGGAGAGGTATCAGGAGGAGGTCACACAATATTCCATACACTGTTCCCCAAAGACCTGAAGTGAACCCCAACATTTGTTTGATTTTTTTTTTTTTTTTTTTACCCCAACATTTGTTTGATTTTTTTTTTTTTTTTTTTAAATCCCAGCCATCTTTGGCTGGTAGTTTAAGCTGGTTCAGCACAGTGTGAGTATTGGTAAGTTAGTCTTTTAGGAAAACAGTACTCTTTCTGACCAATCTCTTCTCTTCCAAATTAAAGAAGATATAATGGGAAAGGCAGAAAGTTGTAGACCTTTATACCTGAACAGGACTCTGCACATCACCCAGGCCAGCACCCCCATTTTATAGATGTAGAAACTGAGGCTGAAGATGAGGAGGCTTGTCTGGGCTCCCATTGCTGCTGGGGGCTGAGCCAGGTGTCAGGCCCAGGAGTTCTGACTGTCTGTTTGAATGACTGAGTCTGATGAAGCGATGAAGACCCCTTCTGCCTCAGTACCATTCAGGAGCCCCGTTTAATATGATGAGGGTTGTGTGAAAGACCAGTGCTGGTCTGGTTCTGGGTCTGGGGACAGGGGCTTGTCTCCTGCAGTCCCTGGGCCATGCAGATGCCAGTGCACTTGGCCGCTAACTGAAAGGTGGGAGGGCACTAAGAGGCACCTGGCGAGAAAAATCGGCCATAGGAAACCCTCTGGAGCACAGTTGTGTGACACACGGGGCGTCGCTGCCGGTTGTGATCTCGGTGGCAGTGGTTTCCTGGTTTATGTTGACTGTGAGTGTGTACAGTGGTGACTTTCCCCACAGGGCAGTTTGACAATCTGAATATGAAGAGTTTGAAAGGTGCGTTTGCCCTGAGAATGTGTCTAAGGATGTGCAGGAAGAATAGCCAGGGTATTCTTATAGCATCATTTAGATTAAAATATCAGAAAATTGAACCCCTTAAAGCGGATTGGTGGAAGAAGTTTGTGGCCTTTGTACAAAATAAGTATGCAGCCCTCAAAAATGATGTGTCTATGTCGTCTGGGATTTGCTTTCAAATACTCGAGACAAGTAATGAAACTTACAGATAAAAGAGGCTTGAGGGGGGGCGTGCCAAGAGATGGGACAAGGTGTAAAGGACAGTGTTCACCTGGAGCTGGCTGATATGTGTGTGCTTTCATCATACGATTCTCCTTTGAGTCTTTGAAATTTTCTGTAAGGAAAAGGTGAAGTTGTATGCACAAGCGTGAGTTGTACGCAACCTTATTTTAGAAGCCACTCTGTATTTCTCAGGGAGCTTGCTCTTTTCTTCTTTCCTTACCACACCCACCAAAGAGATGATGACATTCAAATACATGAACTGCTGTAGGAACATACACAGTGAAACCTGCGAGAGCTGAAACTCATGGGCGTGGCCTTGTTTTTTCTAGGTCTCACAAGTTTTCCACCTTTGACAGGGTGCAGTCTCACCACTTTTATATGGCGAGTTGTGAAAAATACTTGCTTTCTCCTTCTCTGACAGGTTTCTGCCTTATACAGGTTCCGGCTTTTGTGGATTTCACCGAAGTATATACAGAATTATCGCATTTGGTTTTAAAAATAAATCAACCCATACATAAAGACGAATGCATGTCCCACGTGTATATGCTCACTGGGTATCACCGGGTAGGGAGGTGATTACGTTTTTTGCTTGTTTGATTTTCTACAGCAGACATGATCTCACTGACGGCTGTATGAACCCTGTGCTTATCCATGTGGTGCTTATACGTGTGGTGCTTATCCATGTGCTGCTCTCTTGACCTAGGCAGAAGCATGGAGGAGATCAAGAAGGTGCTGTTGCTGGTGCTGGGCTGTGCTGTCCAGGTAGGAGCGGACGGGGCCGGGCAGGCCCGCTGTCGGCCACCTTGAGTTTGGATTCGGGGGGAAGAACACGCTCCCTTAGGTAGGAGAAAGCGGATCCAGTTACACATGTCAGAAGCCGGCGGGCTTCCGGGAGAGTAGCGACTGCCCTCGTAGGGACAGCAGTTTCTTGCATGAAGGCACTTGGGGAATGAGGCCGGGGGGGATCCTTCAGGCCAGGTGTATCATTGGCGATCCATCCCCACTATGTTGTTGTTATGTGCCGTTGAGTCGGACCCGACTCATAGCAACCCCTCCTTGGGTTTCCGAGGCAGTATCACTACGGAAGTAGATTGCACCTTCTAGGGATACGTCACTGTGAGGGCTGGTAGGGAGCCGAGAGTGTTCCTGGGTCTGAAAGAGAAAGCCAGGGCCTGGGGGGGCGGTTCACTTTGGAAGTGCACTTCTGTACCCGCAGTGGCGTCTGTTTTGCCCTCACTTGCAAAATGACTCCCATTGACATGTGTCCCCCCTCCGCAGTGTGAGAGGAAAGAGGAGTTTATTGAAAGGATCAAACAACTGGACATTGAGACCCAGGCTGGAATTGTGGCCCACATTCAGGAGGTAGGCGGGGGCTTTGTGGGTGGGCTCGTCTGGGGTCTGTCCCTACCAGGGCGACGGGGAGAAGACTCTTCCACAAGTGGAAAAGTTTGCAGAGTGCATCACCCGTTAATGGTTTTTTGTTAATTTTAGGTTCCAGGCACCACAGACAAGTTGATTCTGTTTAGAAAGGTGTCCATCAGCAAGCTAAAATAAAACGAGGTTAAAAATAAAAATTTCAAAAAACACCTCCATCAAGTCTTCTTTTGCTTCTTTCTTCTTGCCTAATATGGACTCAGACTATTTTTAAAAGCTGTCAGGGGGTTTAGGCTCAGAATTTGACGTACAAGTCTTGAAAATGTATTCTGGCAAGTGTCACCCTGCTTCGGATGGTTGATCTTTATGGAGAGAGACTTTCTGCTCTTGTCAGTGACTGGCCAGTGAAACCGGCTGCCACCACTGGAGAAGTCAAAGCTTCAACCCAGAAGGGCCACCTGGGACCTCAGTGCTGGCCCAGACTTGGGGGATGCGGAGGTCACTGTGGGGGTAGGTGAGGCGCTGGCTTGAGGCAGACTTTCCTGGTCCCTCTGTCACAGATGTTGGCAGAGGTGGTCTTACCTGAGCAGGTAGTGGTGTTAGGTGCTGTCAAGTAGGCTCTGACTTACAGTGACCTTATGAATAACAGAACACAACATTGCCTAGCCCTGAGCAGGTGGTGGTCCCTGGAAATTAAGCCTGTTGGTGTGAGGAGGTACTCACCTGGGTGAGTGAGTGAGTAAGTGAGGTTCCTTGACCTCCACTCCATCCACCCCCCCCCCCAAATTATTGTGTGTGTTAATCATCTTAGAGGACAATTAAGATAAATGCGTGAAAAAAAGACATGAGCATGTAGGACCAGGTGTGTAATTGGCCCAGGCAGAAACTAGAGCTCTTTGGGTCAGCAGTGGTGCCAGGCTCCCACAGCTGGCTGAGCTCTGGGTCAGGGAGGGGGTGGTGGTTTCCGAGGAGCTGGTATCAGGAAAGCCAGTATTAGCCATGAGTGCCAGTGACAGGCTGCCTGTTGGCTTAGAGCTGTCTGTCTTTTCACTGTCTGCATGAATCTGTGTTTTGAGAAGATATCTACCTGGGGACTAGGTCCTGTGAGATTAGCTGGTTCATTGCCAGCTTGCTGGTTTTCCTGCCCAGCCAGAAACCAAACTCACTGCCATTGAGTTGGACCTGACTCATAGCGACCCCTCCTTGGGTTTCTGAGTTGGTATCACTGGGAGTAGATTGCCCAACCTTCCTTCGGAGGAGGGCCTGGTGGGTTTGAACCACCAGCCTTCTGGTTAGCAGTCAATTGCCTTAGGCACTAGGCTACCAGAGCTCCTTCCTGCCCAGACAGCAAGGTGTTTTTGAAAAATAAAGACATGTGGCCACAAGAGGCCTGTGTAACACTCTGCCTCACTGGCCGCCGACAGTGGGGCTGGGTGCTGAATTTGCTGGGTTCCTTTTGAAACATCACTTGCCCAGAATCCCTGAGAGACCCACCGAGTTGGAACCAGGTGAGGAGAGGCTGAGCCTTTAATTGCAAGCACCCAGCTGACTGCAGTGCAGCTTGGGCTGAGCCCGACGTCGGCCACACCCCCACCCCCACCCCCACTCCTGGATGGAGAAGGCCTTTCTAGGCATTGGGTTCAGAGCAGGCCTGGAGCCCGGCCTTCAGGAGGCCCCGTTCCCTAAGACCCCATCTGAGGTCAGTGGTGTCCAAACCTGTCCTTCGTGAGGTGGGGGAGGTAAGAGTGGGTGTCGCTGGGAGCAGAGCAGGGTGTGGTACGTGTCCTACGCCGTGTGGTCAGTGAGTCTCTCCCTCCCTGGGCTGCTGTGAGTGGTTGCAGACTTTCTTGGTGTGGGTGTGCCTCTCTGAGTGGGCCGCCCAGGGTTCATCCATTCTCTTTGCTCCCTTTGGGACCTGAGCATCTTCCAAAACATGAGAGGGTGGGGACTGGAAGTAGAGGCTTGCTTCTGCCGTCTGGCTGGTCCGGGCTCAGGTTGGGGAGGGCAGGACGGCAAGCATCTGCTCGGAGGCTGTTCAATGTCTGCACAGCCCTGGAGGGATGAGCCCAGGTGGTGTCGTGTGGTCAGTGGGAACGAGGTGCAGGATCACCTTAGCATTGCTTTAGTTTGTGAAATCTCTCAGACAGCAGCACACACCTTGTTCTCAGCCCTCTGATGGAAGATGTTTAACATTATACCATATTTGCATTAGATTTTATGTATATTTTTGTTGTTGTTGCTAAAGCATATGAGTTTTATTTGGATTATCTTTGGTACTGGTGACCATGCTCCTCTAACCATGATCGTTGTTTTAATAACACAGAAGCTCTTATGCCTAAAAATAGGTCAGGTGTTACCAGGTGTTTAGTTCAGTGGAGTCATGGACCTTGGAGTCAGACTGCCTGGCTGCTATCTCACTGCACAGCTGACTGGCTGAGTCCACGAGGCAAGCTGTGCCTTGGCTTCCCTATCTGTAGAATGGGGCTGTGCAGGTACCGAGCTTGTTGAGTGACTCGCGTGGTGTGAGTCCATGCAGTGGGCTTACAGCACTGTCTGGCTCATGTTATGTGCTTGAGAAATGTGAATAGTTGTTGTTGATGCTGTATTTGTCAATCCAAGGTGAAAAAGAAAAGTGTGTTTGTTGTCCTGGTTCACATAGTTACCAAATAGAAGTGTTAGTTTTTGCTCTGTGGTTTTGGTTCTTCTTTTTCTTTTGTTTTCAGATTGTGATCTGGGTGAAAGTTTACAGAGCAAATTCATTTACCATACAGCAGTTCATACGTGTTTTGTTTCATGATGTCGATTGCACTCTCCATAAACTAACAGCTCTTGATTTTATTTTAAGAATAACCTGTTAGAGAGGTACATATGTAGCCTTTCTTATCTCCACCCCACCCCAGACATACCTTCTTTGTGTTGTAAATTGAAGTCTCTCCAACAGAAGTACCATGTGCAGGGATGCTTTTGGGGTGTGATATGTTTTTTCTTTTGCATTTTGTACTCATTTCATTGTTTTGCAGTATGTCCTTCCCTCCCCTCCCACTAGGGGTGTAATATGTTGTCAGAAACACTTCCCAGTGAATATATTAAAACCAGTGTCCTCTTGGAACCAGCTCTGGAAAGCCCACGTGGTCTGTACTTGTAGAGCTTCTTTGAAAAAAGCTTAACTGACTTGCTGCGCAGCCCTTTCGCTGGTCCCAGAAAACATGTCAGACAGGGCTTGGCAACGTCGGCATGCACCATGCGATGACGTACTGCTGTCCCCGGGCCAGACTGGGTGCAGCCCTGTCCCTCCGGGGGAGCCTTCCTACAGCGAGCTGCCCCTGTGCACTGCAGGTGACCCAGAACCAGGAGAACGTCTTTGACCTGCAGTGGCTGGAGCTCCCCGACGTGGCCCCCGAGGAGCTGGAGGCCCTGTCCCGGAACATGGTGTTCCACCTGCGGAGGCTGATTGACGAGCGGGACGAGTGCTCCGAGGTACGTGGCCTCCCAGCGGTGACACGCCTCTCTGTCTTGGCCACAGCCTCCTGCCAGGTTCTTGGTGGGCTGGGTGGGGGTGCTTTCCCTGGTGACGGTGCACACAGTGACTGGTGACTCCAGGGAGGGCAGACCTCTACCAAAACACTGAGCTTCCTCTTGGCCCTCCCGTTCACACTGCTTGTGCTGGCTAAGTATTTCCCCTCTCACTCACTGTGAGTGCCAGCTCTGCCGGCAGTGTGCTGGGCGCAGGTGGCACGGTGGATGAGGGGTCGCCATCCTCTGTCCTTCTCTGTACACTAGCTGATCGTGGACCTCACTCAGGAGCGGGACTACCTCCAGGCGCAGCAGCCCCCCAGCCCCCTCAAGTCCTCCAGTGCCGACTCCACCCCCAGCCCCACCAGCAGCCTCTCCAGCGAAGACAAGCAGCACCTGGTGGTAGAGCTTGCTGATGCCAAGGCCAGGCTGCGGCGTGTCCGGCAGGAGCTGTGAGTCTTCGCTGCCACTGGGCCTGGTTTTTCTATACCTGTTTGGGGTGTTGCAGATGTATTTCTGGGGTGTGGTTTGCCCTCACGTGTGGGGCAGCTCAGGAGATGCTGACCGGGGCCCGGGGGGTCCGGGGTCTGCTCTGAATTCCACCCCCACCCTCCACCCTGCTAGGTTCCACTGGGCCTGCACCAGGAGGGGTGCAGTCTGGTCATTAAGGTCCCTTCCAGTTCCAGCAGTATAGCTTGTCCCCAGAAGGAGACTGTTGTCCATACAGTGGCCTGGTTTGGGGCTGGAATGCCCCACCAGTTGCCTGTAAGTCTGTTCTGATTTATGGCAACCTCATGTGTACTCCATGTAGTTCTCGATGGCTGGCTTTTCAGAAATGAATCACCAGGCCTTTCTTCCAGGCCCCTCTAGATGGACTTGAACCCCCAACCTTGTGGTTAGTAGCTGAGTGCATCAGAGTGGCCCATATTGGCATGTGTTCTTGGCTGAGGGGGCATGTAGCTCACTCCATCTGACAGGAGAACCTGTTCTCTTCCTGTTCCCTGCAGTAGGTGGATGTCACTTGGCCTGTCATCTCTAGCACCTGCCACCACCTCCCCATCAGTGGCCTGCTGGGCCCTGAGTCCTCCTACCTGCCCCACACACTCTGGAGGGAGACCCGTCTGGCTGGTGGATATGGTTTGAGGGCAGGCAATGGAAACTTAACTACAGAAAAGAATTCTGAGCACGTTTGCAGGCCCTCTCCTTTGGCCGTGGCCTTGGAGAGTGGTGGGCGGGACCCCACTGTTGCCCAAGGAAGTCTCTCCCCCTGCTCTTGTTCCCAATCGCCCCACAGGGAGGAGAAGACGGAGCAGCTTGTGGACGCCAGACACGAGGTAGACCAGCTGGCACTGGAGCTGCAGAAAGTCAAGCAGGAGGTGTGCAGGAGACCTGCGCGTCGAGGGTGGGGAGGCCGGGACCCCTGGGGGCCAGGCTGGGACGTTAGGAAGCAGCACTGGGGGTGTCTGGCAAAGTCCTCCCTTTCCTGCCCACCCATAGCAAAGCTGCCCGAGAATCCTGAGCTCTGTCTCAGCAACAGCGTGGGGACACCCACATGGCGGCATACAGAGGGCTGCTCCACCAGCGTCCCAGGAGACACCCCCTGAACTTCAGGGACTCGGCCCTCCCACCCTCCTCCCCCAGAGACCATGTGCTCGTGTCCACCGGGCTCCCCTAAGTGTGGCTCTCCTGCCCTGACAGAATGTCCAGCTCGCAGCTGACGCCCGGTCTGCGCGTGCCTACCGAGACGAGCTGGACTCCCTGAGGGAGAAGGCGAACCGCGTGGAGCGGCTGGAGATGGAGTTGGTGCGTTGCCGGGAGAGGCTGCACGACGTGGACTTCTACAAGGCGCGCATGGAGGTGGGGCCCGGGAGGGGCTTCCGCCCTGCGCCAGACGCTGCGTCCCAAGGACACGGGGACTGCTGTGTGCCCAGGGTGTTCGTGGGAGCAGCCACACGCTTTCCCAGCTGAGCTCTCCTGGAACCTCAGCCTAACCCACCGCCGTCAGTTCTGACTCACAGCCACCCCACGGGTTACGCAGGACAACTGCTCC